TACATGTTAAACTATGTCCATTATCCAGATGTTGCTCTCCAAAACATCATTAAATTCTGCACGGAAGTCTGGAAAGTTATCATAGTTCTCACACAACTGAAGGAGCATCCCACATGTACGACCAATTGGGCGCCTGGTAAAATCTGACATCTTTGCAAACTCGACAGAGATGCAGTCTGACACAATCAAGTGACATCCTGTACTGAACCTCAGAAACCTTCCTAGTTTCTCATCATCCATTTCTCTGATGTACCTTTTGAGATGATGTGCCACTTCCCTTTGCTTTGCTGTCATATCAGCAGGGAACTTCAAAAGTCCTAAGACCTTTTTAGCTGTTGGTAAGAGTTTAGCATATATCTCTAGTAGCTCCTCAAAAGTTAGGGAGATGTGCGATTGTGTGACTTCCCTCCAGCAATCTAACACAAACATTGGCTTTTGGACAAGCTCTTTGTGGGAAATCTCCTTCAGAATTTCGGGGAGGTTATCAGCAGAGACTTGTCTGCGGCATTCATAGCTGTCAAGAACTTCCAACAGTTCATCAAATTCGACAGTAGAGAAATCCTGTAATGCGTGTTGAAGGACTTCTCGTTCTTGGGTGCTTACAAATTGAAGGAAGCATTCTATCAGGTCACTATATACTGCACCAAAAAGCATCTCCTCCATAAAAGGAAGAGCCAGCTTTATTGGAATGTAGTGGCAGTCTTTGTAACCTTGCAGGAAAATTCTGCCAACAGCTTTCCAAGTGTCAGCTTGGAAATCATGCCTAATGAATGGAACTTTCATTGTTGTTCCAAGCGTACACCGATCTTAGAATTCCTGCCAGAAGTTACTATATACATCTCTGACAACCCCTGATCCACAGCCAGCTTCCTCTGAATTGTCTGGTAATAAACGTTTGAATTCCAGTTGCTTGGTCAAAGTCTCTGGGTCAGAAAATTCACTGATCATGTCATGGAGGCAATTGCCATGACGTATAATTATTTTCTTTTTTTGAATTCCAATCTCAGTGGTTTCTGGAGGCACATAAACTACTGTGTTCTCCAGGTCAGATTCATCGCCAGGATAAGGGCCGAAAGTGATTTCAGGGTCAGAAGTATTAAGTGGGTCACTTACTACATCATCTGCCATGATGAAAACTTCTTCATCTACTGGAATATTCTGGCTTGATACCACTGCAAGATCGGTGACAACTGACCAGTCTAGAGAATTGTTTGTGGCCATTGTATAGTCTACTTCTTCACTGTAATCACTATGCAGTGAGATGATGCTGGTATCATCATTGTTTTCAGACTCAGTGTTTGAAGTACTGTCAACTGACTCGACTGGCCTAGTAGCTATGTAGAAGCGCAAATTTGGCAGTTTCACTGCCTCATATATTTTGCAAATTGAGACATCAGTTGGAAGAACATTTTGTCTAAAGTCCCAAACTTCAAATGAGTAGTCACGCTCATCACCCTTACTTGATTGTCCTCCTGGGAAGAAAAGTTCTTTACCTTCTTTAAGGATCTCATTGTAACCTGCATTAATGTCCATGGCAAGCTTTCTAGTGCCCCCTCCTTGTTTTGTTCTGACTTGCTTTGTTACTTTGTTATCTGCATGAATCCAGCCGATTTCAATCTGTCTCTTATTTGCTTTGCCTCTTGATTTGGGTTTAGAAGACTCTGGTACCTCTTTAGACTGGGGTTCAGTTGTAGATTGCTTTCTCAATTTCATCTTTTCTCTCAGTCTTTCAAACAGACCCTGTTTCCTTTTGGAAGCAGGGTTTTGACTTCTGCAAAAATGGAAAAGAGCAAGTCTATCTCCATATGAGGGAATATAGTTGGCGAGAGCTGAGTCGTCCATTAGCAAGATAACATCTCTGTCAATCTGTGGATTTGAAAAAATAAGAGTGATACTAAATTAGTAATACTCACAAATTTTTACGTGAGCATACAAAATTTATTGCTGAGAAGTGGGCAAAAACTATATGTGACCTTTAAATTTTGGGGGAAAAGTAATTAGACCTAGCCTTTTAATGTGGAATAAATAGACTTTTATGTGACTGACAAGATTGTTACACTGAACATATTAGTGGGTGTCTTCTGTAAATATTGGTAAAAGAAATTACATTTTTTTGTCAGAAAAAAAATAACTAAACAGAAAGCATTCTAATGCATTGAAAAACAGCAACAGCAATTCAAATCAGTTTTAAACTCATTCTTTTGATGGTTTTATCATCTTATAGACCCATGTACTAATATACAATAAATGTAGGCTTAAGCAATTTTTGGTTGTACTTTGGTTTGGAATCTTTCTTTTGGAACATTACATTTATATTGAGATTTACTATACATTTTTATTAGCGAACTGTACATAAAACAAAGGTAATAAGTTGTTTTTTTAAAGCAATTTACACTAACTTTTCAATAAAGCATTACATATTAACATTAATTTTAAATCAGCTGTTCCAGTACATGTACCTTTTCTTCCTCCAGACGAGAAAGTATGTCATCTGAAATACCGCGGTCTCTTAGAAATTCTGTTACAGTGATGATGGACATAATTGTGCAGTCTGCTCCCGCTGGGCCTGTCAAAATTACGTTGCGTTGAAAAAGCTTGACTTTGCAAACTTTAAACATACATAACTGAAAAGATCATTAATAAAACTGTACACAAAGAAACCAATGTTAATTGCATAGTATAACCAGGCCTGTAAAGAGTTCGTTACTGGACTATTTTTCCAATAACGTGATAGCCAACGTTAAACTGTATTATTGCCGCGCAAGTCCTCCTTCAACAATACATATATGAATTAATGTAAAGGTCACTCACTTCTCCGTATCCTTCAGAAAGGGTGTCGATGGATCGCATGAAACACATGCAGCTGTTCATGAATGTAGGCTATAACATCAAGATTTACATTAGTCTAGTCTAGACTTTTTTCTCGTTATTTCACGACTTTTTTCTCGTTATTTAACGACTTTAATCTCGTTATTTAACGACTTTTTTCTCGTTATTTAACGAGTTTATTCTCAACATTTTATTTAGACTTTTTTTCTCGTTATTTAACGACTTTAATTTCGTTATTTAACGACTTTTTCTCGTTATTTAACGAGTTTAATCTCGTAATTTAACGAGTTTATTCTCAACATTTTATTTAGACTTTTTTCTCGTTATTTAACGAGTTTTTTCTCGTTATTTAATGAGTTTAATCTCGAAATGATTTACATTTTTTATTATTGCTTGGCCCTAATCCTCTTCCGTAAAAAAATGACACACCCAAATTCATATATTTTAAA